AGTAGCATGTAAAAAATGTTATGAAAGTCTATTATGCAAGTATACAACACACCTAACATTCACAAATCATATTCCACAAAACTCTATAGTTCCTCAAGTAATACAGACATCTCTTAAAAAGGAGAGACTATGGTTAAATATGTATAAGAAAACAAAAAGTAAAATTAAAAACTGAATTAAAACCGTTATATAGGTTAGATTTTATATTCAAAGCCCATATTCTGATAGAATGATTTGTACAATTAAATTTGAATGTCCAGTGTGATATATGTTTATATTTAGTGCAGTCATTAGTTAGAAATGAGGCACTAGACAAATCACTTCCCTCTTTAAGCCTCCATTCCTGTTTACTCCAGAAGAAGTCAAACAATCTTCTGGGGTTGCTCCGTGGTCTGAATAAGACACTGAAGAGACTGAGAAAGTAGTTGATACCATCTGGCCATATTATTAATAGCCCTAGAATAACCATCTAATCCCGAGTGCACATCCCTTTCATTTCAAGCAAAGAGCTCTAACTAGAACTGCTGAGTCTCATTGGAAATTTCCAGAAGACACATTTCAGTACCTGACTTTGACCAAATGTAGACATTTCACTCATCAACATTTTTGGCTATAGGTATGGGTAGGGAGCAGAAACACAAGCAAAACTACTTACTCCCCATAAGTTACTAACAGAGAAGGTCTTAGAGAATAGCTAATGGATGTGGATCAGACAAATGACAAATCCCCAAAGAGTGTCCCCTATAAAGACCATTCATATAGACTCCAAAAAGTGAACTTCAATTACCTTTTTAATAATAACTGTCACTCCACAATAATTTATCAAGTATAGAATTATATACAAAACACTCTTCTGTTTCAATAACTTAAATGTTTTTATCTGTTAACACTAGAAACTAGCTGGCTACCACCTGGTTTTTGAGGGTGGACCATTTCTTCGAGCATGAAGACACCTTCCCCACAGCCCTCCATACAGCCTCTGCTACCTCAATGGAAAAGCTACAAATAATCATTTTTTTCCAAAAAATTACTTCTCTAGCATCTCTAATCTGCTCATATACATAGTTTTCTACCAGAAAACATGCAATTAAACAGTATTTCTGAAAATCAAGGGAAATAGCATATAGAAACAAAATTCCAAAATATATTAATACTGAGGGAAAAAAGAGCAATTTTACAAAAAATATTCATCATAATGACTTCATAGTCAAAGTTTAGGATACTCATATTCAAGTTCTTCTAAAAATTCTGAATTAATATGACTCTTAGAAATAACTTATAATTAGAAGGAACTGTATCATAGAATAGAATATGGGCTTTATGTTTAAACTTGTACTGCCACTCTTTGGCATGTGATCTTTGGCAAATTACTCAACCTCCCTGAGCCTCAGTTTCCTCGTTTACAAAATGGAAATAATAAAACTCAGGTTGAGTAAATCAAACATAGTAGGAAATAATGCTTGATTCAAAGTGTACACTCTATAAACCAGAAAAACTATTTATAAAAAAAGTTTCCACTTGCAGACATCCTGTTACCATACTATATAATACCAGAGATAGAAGTAGTCGGCCTGTAATACATGATATCAAATACTGGCATATGCTAGCTGAATAGACAACCTTTCCAAGTTTGATCATAGTCTCTCATGAAATCTGACTGCATTGCCTGCTCTTAGGCTCCATGACATTACCCAGTACCATCCCACCGGGTAGTATAAAGTAAATGCTGTTGTGCCCATAAATAATGAACACCAATCCAAGAAAATGAAAATTAAAGTGGCATATTCTCTCCCATGCTTAAAACTAGCAGCTTATCTTCCGAAAGGGACTAAAAGCAAATAAACTTTACACCTTTCTCTATTTATAAAATCTTTTGTCAGGGGTGAGGAAGGGAAGAGGGCTCTATATCTATACCTTTCATTTATTACCTATACTAAACATTCATTCCTTCTCAATAGTGTTTTTTCAGTTACTATTCTGTGCCAAGTACTCACCACATACCAGGGAAATAAAAATGGACACTGCCCTTGAGTTTCCATGTTTAGCGAAGGATACAGATCAAACAGCATGTCCATCATAGTATTTTAGGCAATCAGTAAATGAAGACTTATTTCCTAGCTCTATCAGTTTTTACATAAATTGACAACTCTGCAGAAAAGCTTAATACCTAATGGCTTTTCCTTTGAAACACTGAAATACACCTCAATCAGCCTTTTACATCAATACTCCCTTTTGTCTTCAATCTGTTTGTCATACCTTCCTCAACATAACTGCCAAGCAATGAGAGTACTTTTTATTTTGACTTACTTTTATTAGCATTTTTAAAAACTCAATGAATAAAGTAACTAAGCATAAACCAAGATGATTTGGTTAACAATTCATTATGTGCAGGACATAAATTAAGATGATAGAAGACATCTATCTTGTATAATAAATCTATACAATAATTCATCACAGAATCCACCTAGCATAATATTAAATATACAACAGCCATTCAAATTAAGTTATATGCCTAAAGCATGTTCACCTGCAGCATTTTAATAAAACTAAAAATGTGGCTGTAGCCAAAAATTTTTTGTGGTGTATTTTATTATTGTTCTTTTGCATTATGTATAATCTGAAGCTTTTTTTATTTCAGTAGACAACAGTACAAATTAAAAATAATTAAATGTGTGAACTGCTTCTACTTATGGTAAAGAACAAAGAAGACAAGACAGAATATGGATGGGGCAACCACCAGAGAAAAAAACAGGGCTATTCAAAGGCCACAAAACAACAAAGTACTGTCATTTCTAAAGCTTTAAGAAGCGACAGTATCACCCATGGTAGAACAAAAAAGAGTTTAAACAGAAGATGTATTAAGTACAGTAAGTAGTCCCCCTCACCATGTAGGCAGGTTTATCATCTCACATCACAAGAAGGGTGAGTATAGTACAGTAAGATACCCTGACAGACCACATTCACATAGCTTTTATATAGTATATTGTTATAACTGTTATACTGTAACTAGTTATTGTTAATCTCTTACTGTGCCTAATTTGTAAGTTAAACTCTATTATAGGTGTGTCACTGAATAGGAAAACTGCAGGTCTGTGTGTGCGTGCACACGCACACGCCGGGGCATATACATGATCTGTTATTATCCAGTTTCAGGCATCCACTGAGGGTCTTGAAATGTTTACCTCCTATGAGTAAGTGGGAATGAGTAATAGTGTTAAGATAAAATTTATTCAGAACATTCATTAACATTAATTTCAGCACTAGGTATGTTCCAAACACCGTTCTAAGTGCTTTACAACTAATTTAATCCTCACAACCACCTTAAGAGATAAATGACATTACTACTACCATTTTATATGGCACAAAGAGACTAATTTGTGCAAGGTCATAAAGCTGCTAAGTAACAGAACCAAGATTAAAACCTAAGCAATCTGGTCACTTTGTTTTGTTTTCTGTTCTTCTGTAAAAGAAAGGTAGCAAAAAATGTTCTTCCAATTCCAAGTTCAACCCAAACCGAAATTAGAATGCATGATGTCTCACTACACAATTTTCAAGCTCTGGTCCTCAGTGTCTTTGAGTGCATGAGTAGAGTAAGTGGAGGGCCATTACTACAGAATTAATGGAGGCTGAAGAGAAAGAAAACATGTTTTTTTTAACTGAATGACAATTGACAATTTGTTTAAGCGATGGATACACTAATCTTTTTGTGCAGATTTATTTGTCCTTCAGTTGTTGATTTCATTATATTGTCCCTAGGCTATTAAACTAGCACTACTTAATCCCAATATAACCATACATACAAACATAGAAACCAAAACTGCATGGCAATATAAGATTGCCACTCAGCAGATTCATAAAATACTTAAAGATTCCAATTTTAAAAATTGTTTTAAATATATCTGAATATGTTCAAGAACTCACATGCTTGCCTTACATCTTTAGAACTCAGCTGACAAGAACAAATTATAAAAAGATTTAAAGATAATATTACTGAAGACTTTTTTCACCCAACTTCTTAACTACAAAGTCATTATTTGTCTTTAGGGGAAGAAATGATTGTGATACAGTCAGTTAATGGGAAAGCTTAACTGAATGAGGTGGAAGGTCAAAAAAGCAGCATATAAGAAGGAAGTCAGAACACCCTGTAGGTCTGGTGTTCATTCCATAAGCTCCACAGAGATTCAATGGACACCCTACAACATAAGCTAGCCACAGGTCTGTCATTTAATATCCCTTTCAAGGCAATGTATGAAAACGGAAACAAGTCACACTCTTCCTAACAGTAAGCTTCATCTTTGGCAATCAAAATTTAATTTTTTTTTTAACCAAATACTTTTTACACAGATAGAAATTCAAAAGTATCCTACTTCATAGTATCATGAGATAAAAGGAAATCAGTCAAATAAAACCTTCCTAAATATCATTACTTAAAGTAGATAGGTCTTACCAAACTGGCAAGAGGGTAGAAAAAAAAAAAAAAACAGAACAGGAATAATAATATGCTTCAATGTTAAATGTCTAACTTATAATCAACACAAAATGGTGAAATCCAAAATTAGTCTCATGTGGCTAGTTTATAAGGTTTCATTTTCTACATGTACTTACTGTCCTAAAGATACAACATATACCCACAGTTATTCATCTGATCATTCTCATACAAATCTCATCAAAATAACCATTTTATATTTTTCAAACCTTTAGGTACGTATTTTTATATATACAATATTGTTGTCTGACTTATATTCAGATTGGTATTTACATATGAGAAGCTGCCAAAAGTAAGGTAATATAATGGACTGAGTGATACTTTAGTTGTCTTAATGAAAAACAATGAAATCAACAAGAGAAAATCATGACAATACCTTGAAAACGTTCAAAAGTTTGACATGAAATAATGCATAGTACTTTACGCACAAACAGTCTGGATATTTTATTATTAGAGTGCAAAAATATAAGCATATTATTCACAAAAAAGACTTGCCCCATCTTCAAGGACTTACCTTCTTTTTATCCCTCATTGAGCCTTTGCCTCGGACCATTATTTTACATCCTGTTTCTGCTTCAAGCTGTTTAGCAGTAAGTCCTCTAGGTCCAAGGATTCTCCCAACAAAATTAAACTGGGGGGAAAAAAAGTCACCATACATTATCCACTTGGTTGAATTTAGAGTTTTTAAAATCATTTTAAAATATGCATTTACTTTGTCAAGTTAAATTTTTTTTAATACTAAGTTGAAATAAAATCTTAGCCTCCCTATGAATTTCTAGCCAACTTTGGGTGTGTAATTACAACAGCTCATTGTTCAGCATGAAATTTCCACATGTATTCACAAATTTTGATTAGGAACAACAGTATCTACCTAAAACAAGTGCTATACTGAATTGCCCATCAACATGTACTCTAAACTAAGTAAACAATTTGTCAAAATCTTAGATGTCACTCAAGAATGCAAATCCCTCTACAAAACTTTTTTTAATTATGGCATTCAGGGAATTGTTCATTATGTTAAATAGTGTTTGCTTTGTTTTATGGATTATCATTGGGAAAAATTACTGCCTTACTTACCTAACAAAAAAAGTTATACTTTCCCCCAAACAACTGTTCAGAGACAATTATATTTTGGGGACTGGCTGCTAGAACACTGATGTACAAATCTGGATTCCACTCTATACTAAATGTGTAAATTTTGAGAGCATTCTGTACATTCCTTGCGTATTTTTTCATCACATTCCTTGCACAATCTTTTGTCACCATCTTTACTTTCCATTTTTTCCCCATTCCCTTTAACTTGTACTACTGTTTGTGCAAGAAGCCTTAACTCTTTTCATGAACAGGACAGTGATAAAAATAAGAAAAAAAATTTTTTTTAAGTCCAATGAGAAGAATAGATTGACTCTGAATATTGAAAAGTTAATTTTCCTCATTCCCATGGCATCTACAGAAAAGACAAAACATGAGTGTTTACCCTCAGTTTCACCAAATCCCATGGGTGTTTATTTATTCAACCAAGTACTTAACGCTGAGAGCTTTCTACTTGTTTCTTGCATGTGCTCTTCCTGTTAGTATGTCATCACATAAAAGTAATATGCAGAATTCACTGCTGTCAGGGCTGAAGAAGCTAGGACACTTCTACAGTCTTCGGTATTCCAATGGCTTCTTATTTTGCCTCACTAAACTGTGACTAGTATTGCCACATCTTACAGAAGTGATTCACAAATCAAAGATGGGTAGTCTATGTATACAGCTGGAGTATTTTGTACACAGTGTATGTGTATCATCCCTCAGGGGACTCTGATACAACTTTTTTCACCCCAAGTTGAGACTCATAGACTTTGATCCTGTAAGTACTTGATCTAGCCGTACAAGATTCCAAATTCTGAAATTTGCTTTTATATTCAAATAAAACCCCTTATCCTTGCTTAGTTCCTTGGCAGATGGTACTTTATCTACCTCTTTACCCAACCTAAACTCCTGCTGTCATCCATTTTAACAATGCACTTGCTTCCAACCTAGAATCACTCATTCTACATCTCCAAACTGAATAAACTCAAATACTATACTACGGTTAAGTGTTTAAAATCTGAGAGCACATACATCCCAATTGGTATCCAAGCTCCAAAACTAATTAAGAATTTTAAAGTCACACTAAATAAGACTCGATTATATAATGGGGATAATACTATCTAGTAGAGATGTAGTGAGGATTGCATGTGTATCTATTAATAAATAGTCTATCAAGTCCACTACAAATTCACTTTAGGAAACTTCAGGCCCGTAACTGACAATTCAGTTTAGAAATGTCAAACAAGAGGATATGATCAATAGCAGATATGCCCTCCAGAACTCCAGACGGACTGGAGATTTCTGCAGAAAACCAAAAAGAAAAGGTAAAAATGATATACAAAAGAACTGACCCATCTTTGCTCACAAAACACCAAACTGCCAGGTATCTAACTTTTTCAATAGTTTTCAATAGTTCACCACCAAGTTGAAAGTAATCTTTAATAAAAAAGAAGATAAGAAAATAAACTTTACCAGATAAAGAAAATTCTCTTCTATTCCCTACTTTGCCAAGTTTTTAAAATTTAATCATGAGTGGATGTTTAAATTTATCACATTAATTTATTGATACAACCAAAATATTTCTCATTGTTAATGCAGTGGATTACAACTAATTATCAAATGTTAAAACTCACCTTACATTCTAAAATCAAGTCAACTTGATCTTGCTGCATCACCCATTTTAAAATTGCTAGGTTCAGTTTGCTAGCATTTTGGTGATTTTATTTTTTAATTTTCACAAATAGAATAGGCCTGTAAGTTTCCTTTTTTCTTAATATGCTTCTCAGGTTTTGGCATCAAGGTTATTCTGGCCTCAAAACATGTTGGGATGTATTCCCTCTTCTACTTTATGGATGGGCTTTGTACTTTGAAGTCTGGTGTTATTTATTCCTTAATTACTGAATAGAAATCAACGGTGAAGCCACCTAGGCTCAGAGGTTTTCTCTGTTCAAGGTTTTAAATTATGGACTTAGTTCTTTTAGATGTTCATTCCTTCATATTTCAGTTTTGGTAACTTGTGTTTATCTAAAAATAGGTCCACGTTGTTTAAATTTTCAAATTTGTTGACATATGGCTTATGTCTAATTTTCTGTTAGAATCTGTAGTGATGTCCACTCTTTCATTCCTGATTGGTTATTTATGTTAGGATCTGTAGTGATGTTCACTCTTTCATTCCTGATTGGTTATTTATGTTAGGATCTGTAGTGATGTCCACTCTTTCATTCCTGATTGGTTATTTATGTTTTCCTTTATCAGTTTTCCTGTCTTTTTGAAGAATTTAGTTTTGCTTTTGTTGACTGGGATAGAATAATTCTAAAAATGATCACAATTATCCATTCACTGCTAAAGGTATCTATACCATCTGCAGCGTAAATTTGTAGCTCTTCTCACCCCAATTCTGGCATGGCATTGTGACTTTCTTTCCAATACAATGCATTTACTCTCTCAGAGTTCTACTATTCCCATCCAAACACATTCATATCAACCTACTGAAGAATGGAAGACAAGTGACCCGGTGACCACCAATGTTCCAGCCCATATCTGGGCAATTCATAAGAGCATAGCTACCTAGTCAACGTACAGCTGACTGCAGATGCAAACCAAAAGGGCTGCTTTATTGAACCCGGTCTATAATGAACAACCTGCAGAAGAAAAGAAGGAGTTAAATAAACAGTGGTTGTTTTATGTTAATTTTGGGAGTAGTTTATAATGTTTTATTTTTAATTGATTTCTATTCTTAACTTTATTATTTCCTTCTACTTCTTTTGAGTTTAATCTGCTGTACTTTTTCAACTTTTTTTAATGGAAGCTTAGCTCATTGTACCCTTTCGTCTTTTTTAATGTGTATACTTTTAAAGCTTTTATTCCCTAAACTGGCTTTAACTATATCAGTTTTTACCTGTAGTATTTCCATTAACATTCAAGTCAAATAATTGGTAACTAATGGGTACTTAAATGTTTCTATCCCATTTCAAACATGTAAGAATTTCCTAACTATGTTATTGACTTATACATTATAATCAGAAAACTTACTGTGTATACTATCAATCCTATATTTGTTCAGACTTGCTTTTCAGCATATCATATGATCAATTTTTTCTAAATAGTTTATGTGTACTCAAAAGGAATGCAAATTCCTCTATTATTAGCTTATGTCTATTTCTCCTTTAGTTCTATTTTTGCTTTACATGCTTAGAGGCTATTATTTAGTATATATAAATTAAAATTATATCCTGTCATTACGAAGTGGCCCTCTTTATCTCTGTAATACCTTCTGTCATTAAGCCTATTGATATTAATACAAAGATATAGTTTTTATTATCTGGTTTTTCATGGTATCTTTCTTGATCCTATTACTTTCAACCTTTTGTTACCCTTACATTTTAAATGCAACTCCTTTATAAACAGCATCTAGTTGAGTTTTTTTTCTTCACACAATCTTTCAATCTTTCAATTTTAATAAACTTAGCCCATTTACACTGTATGGTTTTTATCTACCTTCTTATTAAGAGATCTCTACATGCCCTACCCTCTTTTTATGTTTCTTTTTATTTTCTTCTTCCCTTCTTTCTAGGGGCAGGAGACACACAGATATAAATGAGCGTGTATTCTCATTTTGTTTTTTCTTTTCTGTTAGCCTAAAAGTTGGATGCTTGTTTATGTATTTGTATACGTACAAATATATAATTTGTATTTTCACCCCTTTCCCATACAAGGTAAGGATTCCAGACTATTTAAGAGCATTTATCCCAATCAAGTTTACATGTCTTTAGTTGTTTTATGTTTTTTTTACCTCAACAGAAAATTATTCTTCAAACAAAAAAATAATGCATTTTGATTCACCCACACATTTACGACTTTCATGGTGCTTTATTCCCCTCTGTATCTTCAACTTTCTAACCAGGGCCATTCTTCTTCTGCCTGAAAACACCCTTTGGCATTTCTTTCACTAAAATTCCTTTGGTGATGAAGTCTGTCTGTTTTTTCTTGTCTGAAAAGCCTTATTTTTGATGCATGTGGAATTCTGGTTTGGCAGCTTGTTTCTTTTTTTCAGCACCTTAAATATTCTTTATCCTGTCTTAGAGTTCTTCTGTTACTACTGAAAAATTAGTTCACAGTTTTACTATTGCTCCTTTGAAGGTAATCTTTTCTCTCTTTTTAAGATTTCCTCCCCAACATTATTTTAAAGCAGTTATGATGTGCCTAGGTAGGTAGTTTTTATTTTATGATTCAGTGTCATAAATCTGTGACTTTATTTCTTTGGTCTGTAAGTTTTCAATCACACCCCACTAGAACACTGCTTCTGTCCCATTCTCCCTTCTTCTAATACTCTAATTTATGTACATTAGAGTTTCTTACTATACTCCCTTAATTTTTCATACTCCCTCCTAGTATTACTGTTCCTCTGTCTCTCCATGCTGAGTATTTTCTTCTCAGCTATTTTCCAGTTCATTAATTCTCTCTTAAAAGGATTCTAATCTGTTATATCTGTTAATTACAGTTAAGGAATTTTGATTTTCCTTCTGTAGTCCCCAACTGTCTGTCATATTTCTCCAC